GGCTGGCAGGCAGCTCTTGGGTCCTTCCTTGCTGTGCATTTTCAAGCCTCTGTGTCGGCCATCATCCCAGTTATTTTCAGATGAAAGTAACAGCAAACCAGCCTCCAGTAGTCTTCAAAGGGCCGGGAAAGGATCCATTTGTAGGGACGAGTCGAGTGGGGGCGGCCTTGGGGTGCAGCCTGCCCTCTGACCTGTGGCCCTGGGGGAGCTGGCAGCTCCGAGCACCTGCCCTTTCGGCAGACCCACGGGCGACATGAGGCCCTGTCCCGACTGTAGCTCAGGAGCTGGAAGCCACGCGCCCTCCTGAGCCAGCCCAAGGTCCCCTACCCCACCCCTCAGGAGGGCCAGTGCGTCCGGGGCAGGCCTGGGCCTCGCCACCCTCAGCTCTCCCCCTCTGCCACTCCTTGTCATCAGGGGAACCGCTTCCTTCCTGAGCCCAGGTTGTTCATCCCACTTAAGTGGGATGAACACACAATTCTATTATCCAATCGTCTAGATTCCAATGTTGCCATAAGTTTATTTAAAAACTTATTATTACAAAAATTATAAATCATTAAGTGAAAGCATGAGCCCAGGGCCCCTGAACCCCACCTGAGTCTCCATGAAATCAGGCACAGAGTACTCCTCTCCGCAAATACTCAGCGAGCTGCCCTGTGGCTGCGGCCTGTCCCTGTCGGCCACGTGTCGGCACTGGGCAGCAAGGCCAAAGGCCAGGCCAGAGCCCCAGGCCAGCTGTGGGTCTGGTACTCCGCTAGCGTGGGCGTCCAGCCCCTCCCAAGGGAACACTGGCCGGGGAGGTGCCGGGGAGCAGTGTGGAGGGAGACGCCCCGTGCCGTGGCGGAAGGCCCGGGCCACGGCCCTCCGCAGCTGCCGCCAGCCCCCCGGGCAGCGGTCTGAGCCCGGGCCTGTGGCCAGGTCCCCCGGAAGCCCCCGGCTCAAAGCTCGCTGCCCTGCGCTGGTCTCTGCTGCTCCGGGGCGCGCGTCGGGCGGGGCCGGCTGAAGCGGCGGTCCCCTGTGAGCTAGGTCTCGGCTTCCCGGCGTGCGGCGCTGCTTCTCCTGGGTGTGCCCTGGCCCGCTGGCCCCCAAGCCCTGCGGGGCCTCCGCCCACGCCCCTGGCTCTGGCGCGGGAGCTGCAGAGCTGCTCGGCTCGGCGGCCTCGTCCTGGACAAAATGTCACGTGGTAGTTGATGTGGAGCTGGCCAGCGCTGCTCGTGGGGTGGCCGTGTGTCCTGGGCCAGTCGCCGATGAGACGGGGCCCAGTTTACCGGAGGGTTGTGCCGGCCGCAGGACCCGCGCGGGGAGCCCCGGCTGCTGGAGGTGCTGTGCCCCACTGGCCGCTCTCCAGGAGGCGCAGACCCCAGGACTGTCGCACCTCGCAGGCGCGCCAGGGGCTCCCCGAGGAGCAGAGCGGGTCAGTCCACCCGCCGCTGCCGCCGCGCAGCTCCCTGCCACGGGCGAGACGAGCTGCAGACTGAGGGCGTCTGCCACAGATGCCCGCTGCTGTCCCCGGTCTCCGGGTGGTTCTGTGGCAGCACAGATCTGACCCGGCTGGCTGTGCGCCTCCCTCCCCCGGTGTGGGGCCCCGGCAGGGGGCTTCACCCCCTGAGTTGGGCTGGCTCAGTCTGGGCGGGATGCCGCCGGGTGGGGGCGAGGGGGGGTGGCAAGCCGGCGAGGGGCCGGGGCTGGGGCCGTGGGCCCAGGTCCGGGGGGCTCCCCCCTCCGCCACCCCGCTGCTCCTGCTCCGCCGTGCTGGGCCTCCGGGCGTTCGCTATTCCTGAATTGAAGAACAAAGGGTCAAGCATCAAAGACCGTGTGCCTCTGGGGACCGGCCGGGGACTGCGAGGAGGCCTGATGTCTCCCACCCCCTCCCGCCGCCTGCCCAGGGACAGCGAGAGCGGCCTGCTGTGAGCGGGGAGCGGCGCAGCCCAGCGCTCCTTTCCCTGCACCCCAAACCTCCGTCCGAAAGGGGCTTGATGAAGCTGTCAGTTGCCTGCCTGACTCACCCCTCCCCTCTGGGCAGAGCCAGGGCGCTGGCTGGGGTGGTGCTGGTGAACATCAGCCACGCCGGCAGGGCGCTGCAGAGGGACCTCCGGCCTCGCGCTCCATCTCGGTCGCCGCCCTCCGCAGCCCCCAGGCCTCCTCCCCACGCCGCTCTGGTAGGACCCGGCGTCTGCGGCCCTCAGTTCCGATGCGCCCGGCCCCGCGGCGTCCAGCCCCCCACCCCCACGGTGCCGGGATTGCGGCCGCCCAGGTCGGCGCGTCCTGCCCTGCGCTCCGGCGCTGCTCACTTCTGCGCGGGGCTTTGCTCCCGTGCTGCTCCGTGACGCTTCGCACGCGCCCTGACCCCGCCGCTGACCCCGCCGTGGCCTGTCCCCCCAGCCGCAGTCTGCCCAGCTGTCGGGCGCTTCGGGAGCCGGCCTCGCCCCGGGCCAGGGCGTCCCGGCCCGACCCCCCGGGCCCGCTGTCAGGCGTCTGACTGACTGCACCGTCTCCCCTCTCTCCTCTCTGCCCCAGATCAGTGGACCATCCCCTGCCCGGATCCTCTCTCTCCACAGACTTTGGCAGCTGGCAGATGGTCACGGGCTGCGGCAGTATTCAGGAACGGGCTGTCCTGCACACAGACGCCTCGCTCCCTTTCAGCTGCCCGGATGAGCTCCCTGGCAGTTGTCTGTAAGTCTCTCGCTTGAGCAGGCAGGACGCCCCCTGCCGTGTCCGGAGGGGGAGCGGTCAGGAGCGGTCAGTCTGCGCGGGGAGCGGCAGACTGGCCCGCCCCTCCCCGGGGTCTTGGCTCGGGGACCTCAGACCCGAGCCCAGGCCGGCGTCCCTGCCCGCGTGTCGCGGCCTCCAGCCGCCCACATCTCCCGCCTGGCAGGCCACGCCCTGAGGGGAAGCTGGCCGGACTGTAACTGGAGGATTCTATTTCCGTTCCAGGCTTTGCCTGAGATGAGAACCCTTTGAAAGCAGAACAGTGGGGCAGTGGAGGCGGGCGTAGGCGTGCCCAGAGCCAGAATGGAGCCGGTCGGCGGGGCTGGGGGCCCTCGCGGAGCCCGGGGCCGCTTGCTGTCCTCCCTGCCCCTGCTGTCTGCTCTTCCCTCGGGCGGCCCTGAGCCGTGACCCGCCCAGACTGCAGTGTGGGCCTCCGGCTCCCGCAGCACTCCGGCCCCCACGCCCTGCCCCCCGCTTCGCCGCTGGGGGGGCCCTGTCAGCGCCCCGAGGCCGCTGCTCCTCTGCCGAGGCCGCCCAGTGCGTCCCCTCTCCTGGGTGCTGGTGCGCACCCAGCTGTCCCCCAGCCGCCTGGAGCACCAGGCCGACTGGCTAGAGCAGGCGGCCCGGGGCTGAGCACTGGCATTCCCCGGGCACTGCCAGGGGTCGTCGCAGCCCCCGAGCCGGGGGCCAGGCGTCAGGCGGACCCGGCCTCGCCGCCGGTGTAGCCAGGCCCCGAGCAACGTTGGCGTTGGAGCTCTGAAGACTGAAGCCTGCACCTTTGCGTCGCAGCTCGGTGCCAGGGCCTGGGCCTCTGCGGGGCGGCTTGGCCCTCCCGCCGCCCGGCAGCTGCAGACCCCTCCGCGGCTCCGCCCGGCCTTCCGCCTCGGGTGGCTCCCGAGGACGCCGGTTCCGAGAGGTCCTGGTGGGGTGGGCTAGGCCTGGCTCGGGGAGCGGGCGCCGTGGGGCACAGCGCGTGGGTCCGGGAATATCCGTCTGCGCCGTGCTCTGTGCGGGCTGCTCCGAGGGGTGTCGAGGGGTGGCGCCGTCCGCTGCCGCCGCGCCCCCTGGCCTGCCGCGGGCCTGCCGCCCACCCCCCGCACCGCGGCACCCCTCTTCGCGCCTGCGCCCTGCGCGTTACTGCGGTCACGACGCGCACACCCAAGTCCGCGCCGAGCGCGCACGCGTGGCCTCGCCCGTATGAAAAGGGAGCAAGCGGAGACGACCTGGGGTCCCCTCTCCCCAGCTGCAGGGCGCGTGGGGTCTGCCAGGCGGCTCCGCGTTCTCGGAGGTACTACGGACCCTTCGGGACCCTTCGCGCCGGGGCACCTCTCTCCTCCTCTCCCCCCGCCCCCGCCCATCCGCGTTGGCTGCCTCTGTCCTCGCAGCAGGACTGTCCTCGACCGCCGGCCTCCGTCCGCGCCCCAGGCCCTGGCGTGCGGGTCCTGCGGCACGGTGGGGACATCGCTGCTGCTCCAGGGAGGCGGCCGGAGCGCGTCTTGCTGTTCGGGGTGACGCGTGCGCACTAGCTCCCACGCCGGTCGCTGGAGCGGGCACTCTGGGGTTGGCCGGGGGCACCGGGGGCGCGCGCCGGACCCTTCCGATCACAGCTTCCGCCCGGCCCGTGGGTGAGCAGCTCTGTTGGGCGCCGGGGTGTGACTGGGTCCTCAGGCCTCCTCTGCGAAGGACTCGGGCTTCACGGGCTGGCCGGCCTGAGTGTGCATGTGCTCGTCCCTTACCGCGTCGTCCAGGGCGGGCAGAGGGGGCTTTGAGCCTCCCCTCTGGTGTCGCCCTCCCAGTAGCTCACCTGGGCCCCTCGGCGGCTGCGGCTCCAGCCCCAGGGCTGTGAGGGGGCCCACGGGGGCGCGGGCTAGAGCTTCCCTGGCGTGTTCCGGCTCCTGGCGGCCAGCAGGCTGCGGTCTCCCATCAGCCCAGCCGCGCGATGCTGGCCGGGGGCGGCCTCCTCCCCGTGAGGCTGAGCTGGGAGCCTGAGGAGCAGCGGCGGGCCCGGGGCCAAGCCCCTCGCTGTTGTCACGGCCGGGGGCTTCCCCGGAGGAGGATCGGCTGCAGCCGGCCCCCCGCCCCCCGCCGGGCAGAGGGCACCCAGGCCAGGGGACCTGGGGGCAGGTGCGGCCCGGCCCCTGCTGGGCGGCAGGAGGCTGGCAGCCGGAGGGAGCAGATGCGGGGCGCCCAGGTGACGCATCACTCTCGCCTCCCGCAGACTGGCGGCGCTGAGCCAGCGGCAGACGCGGCTGCAGGAGGTGCGCTCGGCCTTCCTGGCGACGTACAGCAGCACGGTGGGGCTGCGCGCGGCCCCCAGTCCTTCTGGCGCCATCGGGGGCCTGCTGGAGCAGTTCGTGCGAGGCGTCGGGCTCCGGGGTGCCAGCAGCAGCGCCCTGTGAAGCAGCCGCCCCCAGCCGTTGCTGCGCCTCTCACCTGAGCCCCAGAGGAGTCCAAGCCAGGCCCGGCACGGGGGTGACCAGCGCCGGCGAGGCCTCACTGCTCCTCCGTCTGCCCGGGGCGGCCCCAGAGCCCAGCAGGCCAGGACGAGGCTGCCCAGCCCGGCTCTCCGACTGACCGCCACCCTCTCGTCACTGCCCCCCACCGCGTCTTCGCCGGATTCCTGTCAGCTCTCAGCTGTGGGTCCCTGAGGCCTGTGGAGGCCGCGACTGCACCAGAGACACCCCTTCCCCTGCTTCCTGGGGAGGGGTCACCTGCACTGAGAATTGAGGCAGTTGGCACCGATCACAAAATAAAGTCAGAGTCTTTTGGAACAGCTGTTGTCTGCTCTTCCTGCCTGTGCCCTTGAGCTGCTGGGGAGCCTCAGTGCCCTTGCGCTGGGGGTGGGCGGGCATTGGAGGCCAGGGGGCAGTGAGAGGAAGGGGCCGAGCCAGGCAGTGCCCCCCGTGAGGTGGGGACGGTGGGCCTTGCCCACGGGAGCTCCGGTCCCCTCGGCAGCCCGGGCGCTGCAGATTCCTGGGGCTCTAGAGGAGGGCTGCGGGGTCACTTTCTGGGGAGGGGCGGGAGGGTGGGGGTCTCGTTTTTAGCAAGTCCTGCAAGCGCAGCACCATCCCGGGACCCAGGACCTGAGCCCCTGCCGGCGGCGCGGGAGCTGGCTGACCACCCCACACACAGTGAAGGGGCGGCGGCTGCATGGCCCCGCTCAGCGCCACCAGGCGAAGGCCGCCGCTTACCGAGCCCTGGCGCAGCCAGGAGATGAGCCACCGGCTGGGCCAGCTGCAGCCACCTGGGTGCCTGCACTGTGCAGGCCCCTGCTGACCCTGTCCGTGGGCTTTCTCCCTAACGGGGCCCCGGGGGAACGGCGTCACCGCCTGAGACCAGAGAGGAGAGGGAGCCACAGGGGTGTCCAGTGGCGCGCCCCAGGTCACGCAGCTAGCAAGGACAGATGTGGCACTTCCTGTTCAGATACCTGGGCAGACCCAGAGAGGGCCCCCCCTGCCCACCAAGTGCCCCCCCCCCACGTTTCTGCACCGCAGAATGAACTGTGGGGGCTTGGGGTTTGCCTGGGAGAAAGGTGCTGGGGAAACTCCCAAGGTGTGGGCAGAGTCGGGCTCCCGGTAAGGTTCTGGGCCAGCGGGAGGACGCTCGATGGGGCGGGGGCCGCCCGCAGGGCCGGGCGGGGCTGT